TTAACGAGGCACCTTCAAAGAAAAGAACTCTTGCTAGTTCGTTCCATGTTTCTTTCAAACATGACGATGTAAGCAGACACTCTTTGACAAAGACACACAACATTGGTACTGAGAAAAGAAAGACGTCATTACACAATGTAAGAGATGACAATAAAATAAATCAAAAGAACTTCTGCCTGAAAAATAAAAAAAAATGGTATACTAACCTGAGATAAGCCTGACGCAAGGTCATAAGTGTTGGCGACTGGATGATAATCAACCCGACTTCAGTAGCAATGCTATACATGTGTCTAGCGAGCTCAAATATATTTGCAGCAAAATCATATATTTGTCGAATCTAGTCAAGATCATACTGACAATAATAATAATATTCAAGTGTAACTGCTTAGCCATTCTCTAACAGTGGACTAGGTCTTAAAACCAAGAGTCGTTGATAACGGGTAAAGCTAGTCCAAAGTACCCAGATATAGGAGAATATATTTTCAGATTCTATGCCGGGAACCAAGAAAATAATCAGGAAGATCGAAAAAAAAATTAGCAAGGAACTTTCTTTAGTACTTAACCATATTTTTATAAATGAAAACTTGCTACCAAATATCTTATAATTCTGCTTGCCACTCCTTTAGTCCTTTAGTTAGCACAACCGTTACGCCTTGCCAATACCCAATAAATAATGGACTATTCCATGTTGATGGCATGGAAAGACGGAAAGACATATCAGAGACGCTACTTGATTTCAATGAGAAAATGAATAAAATAAAGACAGACAGACAGAAAGAAAGAAAGAAAGAAAGAAAGAAAGAAAGAAAGAAAGAAAGAATATAAAAGTTTTTAACGTTTCCTTCCAATACCTCATAAATAATGAATATAATATGAAGAGAAAAAAGAAAGAAAGAAGACTATGAAGAGAAAAAAGAAAGAAAGAAGAATATGAAGAAAGAAAGAAAGAAAGAAAGGAAACTGATACAAATTTTAACGTCTCCTGCCAATACCTTATTAATAATGGACTATTCCATTTTCATGGCGCAGTAAGATGGAATAGACATATAAGAAAATCTACTTGGTTCCAGCGAGAAATGAAGGAAAGAAAGATCAAAAGAAGGGAATATAGAAGAGGCGATAATACTCTCATATGTTTAACGTCTGTTTCAGTGAAATAGAAAAGGTTACCAATTTTAGTTATTTTTCATTTGTACTCCCTTACGTCATGTTTATGATTGTTATTGCAATATTTTAATAAAGTTGTTAATCTCATATATTTAACGACACTACAAGGAACTACTACGGATATTTTATTGTCGTAGAACTCGCCATGAGGCTTATTAAATCATTAACTTAAGAATTCAGATTCATCAGAAAATTCAAATAGAAAACCCCGTGATATTTTCAAAGGTATTTCTAGTTTATTTACTCAAAATATGAAATTTACTATTTCTACATTCAAAACAAAAGAAAAAAAATAACTCTGTTAATTTATTTTCTCCTATGAAATACGAAACAACCATTAATGTTTATTAATTCCAAATATTTCCCATGATACTTCAGGAAATGAATCTGATTAGTTCTTTTATTTATCTGATTTAGAAAGAGAGTGGGAAGCGATGGAAATGAAAGAAAGAAAAAGAGACAGCGATCGAATGATTGAAAAGAAGTGGAAGGAAAAGATCAAAATTGCAATATAGAATTCCTTAAAAAAAGCTGTGTTTTCTATGGCGGGGGGGGGCATGTAAGCAAGAAGACAGTCCCGTGAATATGACAAAAATTGGATAATTCAAGTGAATATGATAATAAAGATGATCACAACAGTCCGAACAATGTAAATAAAATAGATAGTTTGAATACATCATCTCAGAAATATAGACAGACCCTGAAGAAGGCCGGAGTATGCAACGATCGAAACGTCGTGAATATGATAATGAAGATGATGACAACAGTCCGAACAGTGTAAATAAAGTAGATAGTTACAATACATCATCTCAGAAATATAAACAGACCCTAAAGAAGGCCGGAGATTACAACGGCCGAAAAGTCGTGAATATGATAATGAAGGTGAGGACAAAAAACTGAGCAAAGTAAATAAAGTAGATAGTTACATCATCTCAGAAATAAAGACAGACCCTGACGAAGGCCGGAGCTTACAAGGGTCGAAACGTCGTAAATATGATAATAAAGAAGAGGGCAATAGTCCGAACAATGTAAATAAAGTAGATAGTTACAATACAACATCTCAGGAATATAAACAGAAGAAAGGATGTAGAAGAAAAATATTTCAGTGTTCTTTATTCTTTTCCCGCACTTAAAATTACTCCATATTTTTTATAAAAGGTAAAAGCAAGAACAATCTATAAAGATTAAAAGGGATAAGGGAGAGAATGCGAAGATACAGACGAAAGATATGAGAATAACAAAGACATAAGATAAATGATAATCTTGTCAACACTTCTTCGAACCCAACGAGGATTGTATTACATTAGTATGTACTGCTTGTAACAGCAAAATGATGCAATTGGTAGATTAAGCTCTGAATCGTTGAATCTTAGAAATGATTAAATATATATTACTGGAATATTCCGAGATTTTTATAACACTGTTGGACTATAGAATTGTATAATTACTCTCCAAGCTTAACAAAATTATCGTTATGAAATCGATCATAAACGAAAATGACTTGTTCATCATTAATTAATCATAGCTAAGTATTGAAAGCTCATGAAGAATTGAAATAATATATATATATTCCAGGATCATTTTCCAACTAATTCAAGATTATCTTCGGCCTCTCTAACTTTCTGTCCTTATTTAACAAGGTGCTTCATACGTTTCAAGTACAATTTCATTTTCATGTCATTTTTTCACTGTTTTTTTAACTATCATAGCTAAAACTTCTCTCTCGCGTGCCAAACGTCTTATGAATTGAGTTGAATCTTTTCTAATTGATCCCTTTCGCTCTAAGTTGAAATGATGATCCCTCTTCCTATTGTGACCTCCTGATCCAGTTTTCCTCTCTACTGTTCCCTCTTTTTAAAACTTATTCACCCTTCTCTTTATGGTTCTTGAATGGAATTTGAAGATGGAAGCCAGAGTATGAATGTTGGTATCATTACTGAAGGCATGACTGATCTTTTTCCTCTCGCCATTGCTCATTTGGGAAGACGGTGGGGCTGACACAAAACGATTTTAACCTGTTCTCTTTCCAGTTGATTAACTCAAAGGGTTTTTCAGTGATCCTTACCACAAATGGTGTCAAAATGGCTAAACGTCTTATCTGAAAACCTGGCTAAAAGAAACTCAGTTTATTGTTCTTTTAGATATTAAACATTTTGTTGGATGGACAATTACCTCATGCGGTTAAACGATTTGGACAATTTGCTGTTACACCCGGTACATTGATTTATATCTTTCTTCATTTCCTACCTTACATCCACTTTCCCCACAGACGAAAAGTTGATAACTTTCTATTCGGTTGGTGGAGGTAAGTTCCACTCAGAGGGGTCCTTCAATCAAAAAGCTTCTTCTTTACTTTTTTAAACAGGCTCCCGAGAGAATACTTCTTTATCACTACGATCTTAACCTATTCAAGTCTATGCATTACCCTAGATACACCCAATTCTGCCACGGCTGCAGTGCCTGTGGTGCGCGTCTAGAACACATGTGATTAAACTCACTACAGTAGTAATATTTCGTATACTATTATGTTAAGTGCCAGCTTAAATTGGCACAAGGCCATCTGAGTTGGATTTCGGTATAAATGGAACTTACTATACTCGCAACGTGGCCTGCTAAACGAACATTAATACTATTGCTCCATGATCATTCTTCTTAAACTGAGCTTAGTCTGACACAAGGCCACTTCTAAAGAGTCTTATGGAAATGTGTTATACGGGGAATCAATCGTTTGCAGGTTATTTGAAGACAGAAAATATTTTTCGATTGTAAGAAATTTTAGGAGATGATGTACTGATACAAGTCCTAATTAGCCCATATCTGATAGATTCATACCTTTCCGAAAGGTATTTGCATGTAAGTGGAAGGTCGGAGCGTTTTCTCAATTAGGCGTTTCATCCCTCCCCACGCGATCAGATATGGCACAGGGCCGAATTTAATGTGGGGTATCCGAGCCCGTAGTCTCGGCCAAAAATTCCCCGTAGACCCCGTATAAAACGGGGTCGGTTAGTTGTTTCCCGAGACGAGGCTGCCCTTCGACATAGCCTCATCTGAGGATCCTCTCTTCTCGGAGGCAGAACAAACCCGACGGGAATTGGAACTCTTTTTCTCTGATCTCCTATTTCGAATTGCTATTCATTTGCACCACCCGCACATCCAAGCTTACAGCACCTGGTATTCCCAATCGGTTACCCATATAGGTACTGACCAGGCTCGACGTTGCTTAATTTCGGTGATCGTACAGGAACTCGACTCTCTGATTAACAATTCCGAGTCATTATCCATTACACCACCCGCACATCCAGTCTTACAGCACCTGGTATTTCCAAGCGGTTGCCCAACTAGGTACTAACAAGGCTCAACGTTGCTTAACTTCGGTGATCGTACGGGAACTCGACTCTCTGATTAACAATTCCGCGCCATTATCAATTACACCACCTGCACATCCAAGCTTACAGCACGTGGTATTCCCAAGCGGTTGCCCAACTAGGTAATAACTAGGTTCGACGTTGCTTAACTTTGGTGATCGTACGGGAACTCTGATTAACAATTCCGAGCCATTATCCATTACACCACCTGCACATCCAAGCTTACAGCACCTGGAATTCCCAAACAGTCTCTCATCTAGGTATTGACCAGGCCCGACGTTGCTTAACTTCGGTGATCGTACTAGAACCTGTGTTTCAACGTGATACGACCATAAGACTTCCTGCAAAGTTACCAATAACCCTCAAGTCACGGTAGACGTTTTAAATCTTCCCTGTCAATTATTGTGGCCTGGCCTTTCTTTTAAGTTTTCTACCGATGGGCAAATATCCAAAAGGGTTTGGAGCCATGCGTTTTTTACCAACATTTGGGATTCACCGATTCAGTTTAACCGTTCCAATAGCGTTACGCCACATTGTGCGTCTTAAAAGAAGAAAGTGGAACAACTAGTTAATCCATTCACGGATAATCCAACCAAACGGCTAATCTGATCAAACAGTCTGATCTTGCCTAAGAAATAAAGATGGCGGACGATATCTGGCTGTATGTGGGAGACGATGTTAATGAAGTAAAATTTAAGACAAAATCAACAGACATCGGAAAGAAAGAATATACCAAGCGGTTTTTGTTACGAAGAACTTGACAGGAACTAACAACCTTAGAATTCTTATCAATCACTTTGGAGATCTTACCACCCAGGGCGAACAGAAGTTCATCTGCCAAAAAAAAAAAAAAAAAAAAAAAAAAACGGTTGTAAAACTATACGTTTCATCGCGACAGTCTTCAATGCATTATAAGAATTTCCATATCTTAAGCATTCATTTTTTGCTTAGACCGGCAGGCGATTCCAAGTTTCTACCTTTTAGAAATTAGATATACAATAGAGTTACTGAAGAGAAGAAATAGCAGAAAAAATCAGCATTTTTATCGCCTAAACTACAGGATATGTTGGGGCAGCTCGGAATGGTGTAATCGTTAGCAAACTTGATTCGCTAAAACAGTTACGAGTGAATAGTGAGTTTGATCCTCACTGGGTGCTCCACACTTTCGGCCGTGTGCCACATTTAAGCTACGCGTAGAAAATCATTTTAGTGTGTAAATTACTCTCTTGAGTAACACCCTATTTATCATCTTATGAGCTCAGGGGTAGCTCCGTCAAAGGACAGAGTCGCAACTGAGGAAAATTATACTGAGAGGTGCCTGGCCCTAAGGAACAGCTGCCCAAGGTAGCGCCCTCTTATTGCACCAGAGAGACGGATCGGTGCTCGCACCCAGCCCAGCGAAACCGACGGTTACGGGGGCTGCAGGCAATTTTTGTTTCTAGAGCCCGGGTGTACGCGATCGGGCACCCCCACATTAAACCGACCTTGTGTCACAACCTGACCTCGTGGGACGGTTTGGTAAATACAAACTACAGGACATACGAAATGGCATAGAATTTATTTAAAAAAATGGAAAACGGAATAATATAAAATTTCTAGATTCATTTAGGGCGGTTTGCATTTACTTTGAACTAATATATATATATATATATATAAATGCTTGTGCAAGTTAATTGAAAGAACCGCTTTAGTTTCCTTTTCTTCACCATACGGTCAGTTTTAGTTTTAGATCTACTAGAGTGAGAGGGTGAAAATCGATTTCTATTTTTTTTTTTTTTTTTTTCAGATTAAGTCATTTGTTGTGATATGCAGTAATATCAATTTGGGTGTGTGATGAAATATGTTTGACCTTGAAAAATATTGCGTCGTCCGTGATTGCATCAGATTTTTATCACGCCCAGACACTATTGTTTCGACTGTCGATTAGTTGTCCTAAGGCTATATTCTGCGATGGACGTTACTCCAAAGAAGCGTATACAAATTGTAACGCTGCACGAAGACGCTGACAAGCCTTACCTGTGAGCAAATCATAGTACTATCGACTGGTTCGGAAACTCTCCTGATTTAAATCCAATAGAGAATCGGTGGTTTATCTGCAAGGAACGACTTCGTGGAATAGAAAAACAAAGTATTATCATGGGCCCTAGGTCGTATTTCGTTGGAAATAAACGAAAAGAAATAAAAGTAAATAATAATGGAATTATTCGCTTTGTTTCAATTAATTTGCAAAAGGGTTTATATATATTTTAGGGCGTCTTAGAGAAAATAAATTATTCCATGAGCAATCTCTTATGTCGCCTAAAAGAGTGCCAATCCGAAGCTAAGCTCCGCAGTTATAGAAGAATCCTGTATATTTAATATCAATCGAAGAATTTATACTTGCAAGGTTACATTTAATAATCCTTAGCGATGAAAATGTCTGGACGGGTGCATTTCTTATTGCATGATCTCAAGAATTGGCAGTTCCATTATATGTGCTGCGAAAGTGGAACTTTTTCGTTTCTTAGATTTGCTGCCTGTTTCGCATTTTGTTTCGTAATGAATGTCTTCAATGCCAGCGGCAATTCTAAAAATACTCTCTGGAAAAGCAACAATATTTTTCACGTCTGTACTCGAAATTCCGCAGAGAATTGTACAGAAACACAACGTCCTGGGTATGACGATAAACTACATCCGGCAGCAGGGCCTCTGACCGGGAGGTTTTGAAGAGCGTGGAACGACCTCTTAATTGCTGTTTTTCCAGGTCAGCCTGACCCCGGGTGATAGCACCTGATAGGGTCCCAGCTATGGAAAAATGGTTACTCTCTCAAACTAGACTCAAAAAGCAAGTGTAGAAATATATGTTATAGTGAAGGTACCAGCAATACATTTTCATTGTAAAAAATTACCAACAATTCATTTTGTAAATAATATTAACAGGAATATACAGGGTGTCCATAAATTCGTGTGCACTTTAAAAAATTATAACTTTATTTGTATTTGCGATGGAAATAATCTGTAAAAAAATGTTATAAAGTTTAATATACCTAGTTTTAAGTATAGCTAAAATAACTAATGTAATTTCAGACATTACTGTAAATCAGTTGGCAAATGTTTTCCGTGAACTGCAAAATCGCATTACCCTTTGTATTGCTAATGATGGGGGACATGTGGAAACTTAAATAAAATTTCAATAAAACCTTAGAAAATATAGATTTACATCTTTCTAATCTTTTTTACAAATTATTTATATCGCAAATACAAATAAAGTTATAAATTTTGTAAAGTGCACACGAACTTTATGGACACCATGTATTTTGGAAAAAAATTATTACCAACAATACATTTTTTGTAAGGAAAAATTATTACTAGCAAAACATATTTGTAAGAAAAAAATATTACCAACAATATATTTTTCATTAAAAAATAAAAAAAGATACACGACATGTAATACATTTTGAGGAAAAATGCAAGTAATATATTTTTGTGAAAGAAATAACGAATGCTCCCAAGAAAATTAAAATTCTGTATTAAATGACCCATTAAGACTTAACATGTCGTAAAACAAACAAACGGAAACACACTTGAGACGTAAAAAGAGTATATTCTAATTTTCTGTTGATGACAGATGATGCTTGATCTGGGGATGTTTTTGTTTTTCTTAATTGTTAGAAGTGCAAGTCTCTTATAAAATATGGCTGTCTTCGTATTTTCTCATTCAACCGTCAGTTGTTAATCTTGTGTATCGTATTATGCTCCCCCACTTACTGCTTGGAAACTTATATAGGCTCTATCCATTAGCTATACTAATTAGTCCAGTCATTCATATTTCACGGCAATGTCTCTTTCTAATTTCAAGCCAAAATCACTTAAGGATGAAATCCCTAATTGAGAAAATTACAAATTGATAGCGACCTGATCACCAATAGAAATATCGAAAACAGGAAGAGACTTGCACTTTTAAGTATGTCGATGTGTGAAAAAATATCTTCAAATCTGCATAACATAGTTAAATGTTTTATATTTATTATGCTTATGAGATGTTTAAAATTCGTATAAAATATTTATATTCGTCTTCTGCTGCTGTCAGACTCATTAGGCTTATTCTACACAAGACGTCTTCTTATACGATGAAATATATTTAAATTTGAAATGTAAAGTTCAAAACATGCTAGGATATAGCTAATAAATTCTTGTCTACGATATTTATTCATGATAATGATCGAGATTAATTGAAAGTGCCTAAAACAAAAAGTGAACAAAAAATTGAACAGTATTTACATTAGTCGGACTATTGTCCTCATCTTTGTCGCCATATTTGTCACAACGTTTCGGCCGTTGTACGCTCCGGCCTTCTTCAGGTGGTTGGAATTTCGAACTGAATCCTTTATTTCGATCACTGGGGTAGATTGTTCTAGTTCCACGTGCCATGTTTGATGGATGTCAGTTATCAGTTATCTCCTGCTAATTTTCCCTCTGAAAGTTCTCCACTGTCTTAACCAGGTATTGAACTCACCTTCTTTGGGTCTGTCAATGGTTCTAACATGGCACAGTGGATAAAGGCGTTTATTTATTTGAAAATTTGAAAAATGCAATTAAGTATTAAAGGAACCTTCTAGTTTGGATTTACTAAAACTGTTATATATATATATATATATATATATATATATATATATATATATATATATATATATATATATATATATATATATATATAAAAAAAGAAGAGAAGAGAGGTGCCGCAAACGTTTTTGGTTGTAATGTGGATTTTTTTTAAATATTATGCTTTATCTTCCATAATTTTACTACACGTGTTTCTGGTCTCGCGACCGTCTTCAAGTAAAAGGTGGAGATGTCCACATATTATTAAAAATAATTAATTTTTTTCCTTATGGTTTTCAATGTTAAATTTTCTCTCAATATGAGACATTCTCTGATTTTGTGTTAGTAATCCGAATGTCTTTCTTGAATTGGATATATATATATATATATATATATATATATATATACAGGCAAATATCCGTGGGTAAATAATCCGTAGGTAAGGTTAACCATTGTTGGGAGAAATAGCTATTCATATAGGGTATCTTCAAATTTCAGTTATATTTAATTTATATATATATATACAGGCAAATATCAGTGGGTAAATAATCCGTGGGTAAGGCTAACCGCTGCGGGGAGAAATAGCTATTCATATGGGGTATCTTCGAATTACAATTAGATGTAATTTATATATATATATATATATATATATATATATATATATATATATATATATATATATATATATATATATATAGATATATATATAAGATAAGTTTTAAGGTGTGGTTTTCACGGTTTTTCGCTAAAAGCAGTGGCGTAAAATAAAATGAGGTATCGTTGAGTTCGTCATGATGTACATAACAACCAATTCAAGTTTGAACGTAATGGGAGGGAAAAAATTGGATTTATCGATTTTTGATCGGCTTTATCGATTACTGATTTTT